AGAAATTCTCAGGAAAAAAGGAAAAGCAGAATATTGATTGGAAATAACAGAAACTAGTAAACTCAGGAGCTCTTGAGAGTAGGTAGAAATCACGTAACATTTTATCTCTAATGCCTTTACTGGAGGAATCAACTCCCTTTCTTTCGTCCTTAATTCATTGTGCTCAAATTTCAAAGTTCCTGGTCAGAAAGACCAATTGCTACTGCTTAGATCATGCTTCTGCATCATGGTCTTTATTAGGCAGAAAGAAGTATAGTCTGCCAAAGACTCCCAGGGTTCTCTTTAGTTTTCATAGTGAGAGGATACCATGATTTACAACATAATCAAGACAGCACACAATGGGGAAAGATGTAATTCCCCAAAGGAAGTCATGCTGCTGTTAGTTAAGGGAGAAATGGATGCTAGGTGACTAGAAACACATCCATTGCCCTCTGATATATATTTAACTATCCCTTAAAATTACCACTCAATTATTTCTGGCCACTATGGTGTCAGATGTATTGATGAGTAAATCCTGCTTGCAACTACAGGGCACCATTTTCTTCCTCTCCCATCAGCTGCATAGAGTTTGGGCAAAGACACATCTCCATGATTGCCTTTGGTGGCCAATATCAGGTTGCCAACCCCAGAAATGCTGTCTTTTGCTGGAAATATCCCACAGTTGACCCTGGTAGAAATGAGGGCTAGAACATTTGAGTTGCCAGAATGGAACATTGTTGTATAAAGTCTTCATTAAGCCAAAATGAGATAGCAGTCCATGCCCAGATTGGGGGGATGCTTTTTGACTTCTTTCCCTTGGAATTTACAGACGAGTTAGTATCTGAACACGGAAGAGATGCTGTTTGTGAATAAGAAACTGAAAACGACTTCTTTGGTTTCTGTCCACAGCCTTCTTAGAGCAAATACACAGATTCCTAGGGTTTAACGGAGTTGGCAGTCCATAGGAATCCTTGGGTAGTGCAAATGGTTAATGTTCTTGGCTGCTAACTGAAAAGTCTCAGGTTTGAGTTCACTAAGAGGTGCCTTGGAAGACAGACCTGGTGATCTTCTTCTGAAAAACAAGCCACTGAAAACCATATGGAGTGCAGTTCTACTCTGACACTCATGGGGTTGCATGAGTTGGAACTGACTCAAGGATAACTGGTTTTTTTAAAGGTGAGTCCGTAGCAAATTTTTCTTCAAAACACTGCGATGTTTTAATTTCTCACACGTGTAGCTCCTTTGGCCACATCTCTTAACATCCCTTGCTGTCTTTCTTGTTCTTTGCAGCAGTACTTAATCAGTTCCTTCTACCTACCGCTCAAAGTCCAAAGTGATAAATCCAGTGCTACTTATATACATTACAAAAGAGTTCTTTCTTGCACAAAAAAAATTTAATGAGGTCCTCCTACAAATTGTTCATTTCTGAGTGTCACTCAATTCATAAACATAATATCTGCACTCTAAATTTTAGGTATGGCTAAGTGCATTTTATGCAATAACCTGAAAAGCAATAGTAAGAAAATACTGTATAGCTGGCAGGAAATTATTCCAGTTTTGCATGCCCTCCCGCCTGCCAAACCGGTTTCAAGAGAATAGTGAAATAGAGTTTCCTAATAGGAAATGTGTTTTGCTGAAGGACAATGAAATCATGTGAAATTTAATGAGAATGTTTTTAAATTGTCCCTGTTTCCTCTCTCAGGTGATGCTTGGAACACATTTATTCTAGTCTCCTGATACTCTGACAGGAAAGAAATTGTATTATTACTTCTACTACCTGGGGAAAAACACCTGATTAGCTAGTTTTGACTTTTAGACTGTTCTCCAATCATTCCCTTAGAGCACATTTCTTCTCCTTATTTCCAATGACAGAGGAATAAAACTATTGTATGTTTTCAATTATCCTTAATGATTCTTCCAATGATTTGATGCCTGGTGCTTTTAATTTTTATTTTAGAAAACACACCTACTAGCTAGACTAAGCTTCTTAATCGTTCACTGTAAATTTCCCCTGAGACGTGTTTTTGTTTAAAAAGGCATAAATACATACATATATATAAACAAAGAAATAAAAGTTCATATACAGTAAAAAATGGACTGAAGTCAAATTAGCATTTGTCTCAGAAAAATATAATAACTAGATAGAGGATTGCAATATCAACAATAAAAAGGCATGTTTAAAAATAAAGAGTATAAAATAAATGAAGGACTAAATAGCCAAGGTTATGTAAAAAGATAATTGAGAGTGCTAAGGCTGTGTGCAATTAATTTTTGCATTTATGGGTGTTTTATAAGAATGACAATTAACATTTGGCTTCTAATCTGGTATGCCTGTTATTTTAACGTTAGGATAAATAAAGCTGATAATTTAAGAGATTAGTAAATTTTTAACATCATTTTATTTTTTTAATGACTTGTGAGTAGGACAAGAGTCCTTAGATAGTAGAAACAGTTAACACATTCAGCTGCTAACTAAAAGTTGGCATTTCAAGTCCACCCTGAGAAGCCTTGGAAGAAAGGCCTGGGGATCAATCTACTTCCAAAAAATCTACTGTTGAGAACCCTATGGAGGACAGTTCTACTCTGACGCACACGGAGTCGCCATGAGTTGGAATAGACTTGACTGAAACTGGTCAGTGGGACATGAATTTGATGGCTTTTCTAGGTATTAGGATGGATATGAGTCAAATAATTATTGTTTCATGCCAAATTCATTCACTTTGTGGTTAAATGTGCAGATGTGTGTGATAACTAGCCAGGGTTATGAATGTAACCCATAATTATGGAATAAAATTGAACAAGCTGGTAGTAAGTAATCAAGCCCACAACCCTAACATTATTGATGCATCTTACACAGAACTCTGGGTAGGATCTGGACCTTTTTCAGGTGGGAAATATCAGGCCCATTACAGTGAAACTCATTCCTTCTTCCATAGCCTTTGGGTACTCATAGGTTGCTGCCTATGTTTCTACTGAACATGCCTGGGTTTAGTGAAAAGATTGTCACAAGAATTCGTAACTAAGATACTTCTTTCTCTCATTCAATTTGTTTCAAAACTTATATTAGGCTATGACATTCCCCTGCTAGATAAAATGGCTTCCTAATTCACTGAGGAAATAATCCAAATTCTTTACTGTGTGTAGAGAATTATCTTCAAATAAAGTTATCAACAATTTCTCCATCAAGAGGTGGTATTAAAACTAGCACAACTTGTACAAGGAAAGGTCATGGAAGCCCCACAGACACATCCAGACTCCCTGAGGGACTGAATTGCTTGGTGGGGCGCTGTGGGGACCATGGTCTCGGGGAACATCTAGCTCAATTGGCATGACACAGCTTATAAAGACAATGCTCTACATTCTACCTTGGTGAGTAGTGTCTTGGGTCTTAAAAGCCTGTGAGCGGCCATCTAAGATACTCCACTGGTCTCATCCCTTCGGGAGCAAGGGAGAATGAAGAGAACAGGATACAAGGAAAAGATCAGTCCAAAGGACTAATGGTCCCAGCTACCAAGGCCTCCACCAGACTGAGTCCAGTACAGCTAGATGCTGGCCGGTTACCACCACTGACTGCCCTGAACAGGATCACAACAGAGGGTTCTGGACAGAGCTGGAGAAGGATGTAGAGCATAATTCTAACTCACAAAGAAAAAGACCGGATTTACTGGCCTAAAGGAGACTGGAGAAACCCCAAGAGTATGGCCCCCAGACACCCTTTTAGCTCAGTGGTGAAGCTACCTCAGAGGTTCACTGTTCAGCCTGGGAGTGGACAGCCCCATAAAACCAAATGAGACTAATGAGATACAGTAGTCCAGTGACAAGGACCAGAAAGCAGAAGGGGACAAGGAAGCTAGTGATAGGGAACCCAAGTTTGAGTAAGGATATTGTTGATGTGTAGTGAGATTGTTAACCATTGTCATAGGGCAACATTTGTAGTAACTGTTAAATGAGAAACTATTTTGTTCTGTACGCCTTCATCTTAAGTGAGAATAACAGCACAATTGGAAGAGCGTAGTCAATGTCACTGAACTGTGCATGTACAAATTTTTGAAAGGGTGTATCTTTGGCTATGTGTAGTTTCACCAAAAAAAAAAGGTTGAGAAGTTAGAGGGTTAATATGTTGTGGGGTTGTTAACCAATGTCATAAAACAACATGTGTACTACTGTTTCATGAGAAACTATTTGTTCTGTAAGCCTTCACCTGAAGTACAATAAAATAAATTAAAAAAAAAGAGGTGGCATTAATTTTCCTTACATTTGAAACTATACTATCACTGACTTACTTTGATTAGTAAAATGTGGCAGAATGTGTGTCACTAGAGAAGAACAGATGTAATCCTAGTAGAAAAGGAAAAAAAAAATGACTTTCTAAGGGTGAATTATCAGGACCTGGGGGAGAAGCAGGAGCCCTGGTGGCACAATGGTTAAGCACTCAGCTGCTAATTGAAAGGTTGGTGGTTTGAACTCAACAGCCCTTCCATGGGAAAAAGACATGGCAATCTGCTTCCATAAAGAACACAGCCTTGGAAACCCTATGTGGCAGTTCTACTCTGTCTTATATGGTCCTTATAGTTGGAATCGATGGCAACATGTTTGAGAGGAGAAGTGCTTGTGCTGGGCTATCAATGACTATAGATAGCAGGACAGCATTCTAGGGGCTACTAGGAACAGTGTGAAGGACGGAGAGAAGGTGGAAATGTGCAGTGCACATGGGGGAAAACCAATGTCACAATAACCTCAACTCTCACATTAAAAACAAAAAAAAACAAAAACACAAAAATACACACATTAATTTCAATGAATATTTTTCTTATTAGATGCAGCAGCAGAAAATAATTATTAGTTTACATATATTTTCCTTTCTTATTGAAAATATAAAAATAAAAGGAACTGACTTAAAATTAATTCCCTTTGAAGTTTTGGCCCATAGTTGGCTGTTACTTCTTGGAAAATGACTTCTAGACTGTCCTGGTCTTGTACCTTATGGCTTCATTGATTCCAATCTTCTTTCTTCCATAAAGGTGGTGCTATTGACTTGGTGGGCAAGACCATTTTGCACTGGGATGGCAGCCTTATTGTCTTCTGGCTCTATTCTTTTCTACTGTTGAAGCTTCTGTACAGTAAGTTCATCCCTGGCTACTTCTCTTGCAGCAGGCCCTTCCATGTGACTGGCAAGAGTGTTCGAGGACAAATGAAATTCATGTCTGTGCTTAGGTGGAAATAACACCCCTCCCACCACACACACAAAAATGTTTTGGTTCTGACTCATAGTGACCCTATAGGACAGAGTAGAACAGCCCTACAGAGTTTCCAAGGCTGTAAATCTTTACAGAAGCAGACTGCCACATCTTTCTCCCATGGAGTGGCTAGTGGGTTCAAAGCGCTGAACTTTTTTTTTTTTTTTTTTATTGTACTTCAGGTGAAGGCTTACAGAACCAATAGTTTCTCATGAAATAGTAGTACACATATTGTTTTATGACATTGGTTAACAACCCCACAACATGGCAACCCTCTCCCTTCTCAACCTTTTTTTTGGTGAAAATATACATAGCCAAAGATACACCATTTCAAAAATTTCTACATGCACAGTTCAATGACATCAATTATGCTCTTCCAATTGTGCTGCTATTCTCACTCTAGATGAAGGCTTACAGAACAAAATATTTTCTCATTTAACAGTTAGTACACATGTTGCCCTATGATAATGGTTAACAACCTCACAACACATCAGCACTATCCTTACTCAACCTTGGGTTCC